GTAGCAAATCAGGGGTAAAATATCCTTCATTGTTCTGCTGTGTCAGGTACTCTGCACAGGATTCATCTGACCTAAAGTAGATTTTTACATCTAAGTCTGATTTCCTTTATAGTCTCCATAAAGAAATAAGCATCTATATGCTGAGATTGCTCTTATCTTGCTCACACAGGAAAAATGTATACAAGTCTGTCGGAATCTATTGAAGGAAAACAAGGCTGAAGGTGATTGTTTCCTGGATTACATCACTACTGGTGATGAGATGTGCTGACAACACTACAATCTGGAAGCAAAATGGCAGTCCATGTAGTGTCAACAGGTTAATTCCCCATCGAATAAAAAGTTCAAGATGCAGCCCTCAGCAAATAAAATATTGTGCATGGTCTTTTGAGGTAGGAAAGTGATGATCCTTCTGGATTTCCTGAAAGACAGACAAACCATCAACTCTGACCAGTACACCACAACACTGGCTGATCTGAAGTTCTAAATGAAAATGTGCTTCAGCTATGTTCATAGTAAATATCAAAAACTATAAATAAATTTGATGATAGTTGTAAACCACAGTCCAGCTTTGTATTCTGGTCAGAAATCATCATAAGCTGAACCATACAGTGCTCCCAACTATTTTTCTAAAGACATTAAATAACTTTCTATATTCTTATAACTCCATAGTCAAGTCGATAACCCTTGGCCTTTTATATTTTATTTATTATTTTTTTTTACATGCTTCACTCACATCTCAGAAACTGATATTCTCTCAATCCTGAACCAACCTAACTCAATTCTCTTACTAAAATGTAGGTGATTCCTGATAGCACTAATGCAGTACTCTGTCTTCTCTCCTGTTTTCAGTTTCACCTGTTCTGTGGACACAGAGGAAAGTGAGAAGAAAGAGCACAGCTGTTCTTTGCAACACAGGATGTGTAATAGCTTAGCCTCCTAAAGGAGAGTCACTCCTTCAATCTGTTTCAATCTCTATTCCTTTATTCAAATTAAAAAATTTAAAAAAAAGAAAAAGAAAAAGAAAGGAAAAGAAAGAAAAAGAAAGAAAGTAAAAGAAAGAAAAAGAAAAAAAAGAAAGACAGTGAAGAAATATAAGAGCACAAGTAGAAAAATGTTAAATTCCTCAAGAGAAAACACATTCTTTCATAAATGCCATCCAGTAATTACTCTGGGAGGTGGCTTTCTTCATAAAAGTTGCTGGGAAGAAAAACATGTATCAACAGTTGCTAGTAGTTTATACGACTAGAAACAACAGTTGAAGTGTATCAAAACCTAGCATGAGTGTTGGAGCAAGTACATTCCGGAAAGTATCCTGGGTTGGTAATGTCCAGGAGAAAAATGGAACACAAGGTCATCCAGGCCACTATGCTGTCTCCATCTTTGATTCAATCCAGAAAATAAGAGAAAAGTAAGAACCAATAAACATTGTCTCACTTTAAAATTTCCCTAGCCTTCAACATTTTTCATCTGGACGTATTTCCTGAACAAGAGAGTGTCCTTCAATGATCCTCAATGGATGTTTCTTCTAACGATTTGTTTAGTCTCCCTTGAACCATTCATCCACATTGTCCTTTGCTGAGCATCTCCATGGGTCTGCTATCCGAAAACTGAGTAATTCTACATGTACCCTTACAGGATAGTATCAGACAGAATAGTAAGACCAGACAAAACTAAGATAGATCTATATTTAATTATTATTGTATATACCTAGAACAACTACTGAGGATACTCACAAACTCGTTGCATTTTCAGATATAATTATCTGTCTATAAATTATTTATACTGCAGCAGAATTAGGTTACTCGAAATTTCCTGCTTCTCTCCAAATGGCATCTTCACATTAAAACTCTTGGCCATTCTGCAAAGTTAGTCTGCTAAAGAGTCTATAGAGTCTGTACAGGAGTGACCCATAACACATTAGAGTAAATGTCATTTGTTGATTAATTTAGAAAGCTATCATTTGCATGACCCTTCTTGGTTCCTTTCTGCTTTGTTTGTTTTGTAGTTACCAGAACACCATAGTTGGAGGTTTCATTTTTGCAGACTCATTTCAGAAAATAACTTCTCCGATCATGTATGCAGACCCCTGAATTGAGAGATTTCCCTCTTTGAAGAGAAATCACTTGTATTCTAACAAGTTGTAAACTGCATGAAGGAATCTACCAAATCTAAGTTTGAGACCTGAACTTGGCCCTTTTAGGTTGGCTTTGTATTTTGCTGTAATCCTTTTTCATTTTGAATTCTTTTACTTGTAAGAGAGTATATGGCCTATAAATCACTCTTCAGAAACATACACAGAAGTACAAGAGAGCAGTGAGTTTTAAAAGGAAACATTTTCAGATGGATTTTACAGGAGTTAGGAGACAGAATGACAAATCACTGCAAAATCTTTTTTTCAAAAAGAATATCTTTTTAAAGATTTTTTTGAAGAGTAAAGACAAAATGCTCTGATTTCCTAAAAACAGTTGTAAATTATCATCAGCTTCTGCCTTAATGAATATTATTTTCCTCTAGCGAAGATTTTTAAGTCTCAGATGAGTTTTCATGGACTAACTATATAGATAGTGTGAGGAAGAACACAGACAATGTCTCTGCATCATAATTATAGCAATCCTCTTCTTTCCAGTATCAACCAAGCTATAGTCAGAGTGAGTATTGGGAAACAAATGTGGGAGCTGTAAGCTTGACGTCTAATATCTGCTACTGAAGATTTGGAATTTGATTTAGTGCCTCTATTGGATGGTTTGAAAAAATAGGTCTTCCATCTTCTTTTAATAAATTCATTTTCAGACCTGCAATTTACCTTTTTGGCAGTTTTACGATTCAAAACAATAGGCCTTTTTTAGTTGTGTAATTTTTTTTGACTGTCTTCTTTTTCTTTCTCATTTATAAATGGAAAATAGTTTTCAGTAATTTGTAGAATAGGTAAACAGGAGCCATTCATAGCTCCCTAGTTGGAAAATTTTCAACATGATTGCAGTAAATACTGGGGGATTATTTTATATTTTTTGATAGTAACACGCTGATTCTTACACATTACAAGGCCATATTATGTTAAATCTACATACATTTGCTATTCTATAAATTCTGAAAAGCAACAAGTTCTGAAGTGATGCATTACAATTAGCTCTCAGAAGAAGGAACATTTTCTGCAAGAGGGATAGAATCCCAGAATAGTGAGACTTCCCCTGCAATTTAAAAATAAAAAGACATCAACGTGGGTGAGGGAGCAGGACAAGTTTAAAAGAACAGGGCTTGGCACTGAAGGCTAGTGATCCTAGTGATTCTGAGACTTGATAAATTCAGGGCACCAGCAGTTGAATAGATTTTTACAAGAACACAAATAATTGCAACCATGGTTGTATGTCTCAGCCCACATTGAAGGAGGTGGTAGCTGCTATGAGCAAAGACAATAACATTACATGTTGACCATCTCTTGGGGAACTTTTTGAATTTGTACTCAGAGGCCACAGGCATGCGAGTGTTTCTGAGTCATTAATTTAACTGCCTTCGTAGTTGTTGCTCCCATCACGTAACTTTGAGTTGACCATGTGAACTATGTGAAGAAACAAGTAAATGCACAGTGCAAACATTTATCTGACATTAATAACAGGTAGATCATTTAGGCAATCAAGACTTTACAAACAGAAGTTGTTCTAATGTTCTGCCTCTCCTGGCTTAAGAACTTGTCAACAAGGGAAGCAACAAGAAGAGGCATCACTCTTATGCATACATATACTGCATTCTGCCTGACAGTGTTCTTGAGAAACATGTTCACTGTTATTGTATTTTCTTAAAGAAATGCACAGTCCACTTCAGAAAACTAACTCTTGGGTCAAAAACTACTGTTTCTCTATTGCATCATCCATTAGCTAAACAGAATGTCTTGGGTACGTTTCAACTAGTTTTGATATAAATTTTAATTACCTTTAAATAAACTGTAAAGGAGAAATAAAACATTCTTGATCCCACATAGATAAAGACATCATGGAACCCTGTCTGTCAACTATAACAAAAAAGATCTATTGATATTTATTCAGTGGTGTTGTGTCACCATAAAATTGAAATAACATTATAGTAAATTAGTTCTTTTATATCTACAGGAAATAGGAGATCTCCCTTGATCCTGATTCCATTTCTTTGCTTACAAGCAGCTGTTGTGAATGTTTCTTGCTCAGAAACTGCCAACAGCCTCATAATTCCCTCATGTCTTGTTAGCACATAAACCCAGACAGGATCCGAGGGTATGACTGCACCATGTCCACAAACTTGTGCTTGCTTTAGAATCATAGAATCATAGAAGCATCAAGATTGGAAAAGACCTCTATTATCATCTAGCCCAACTCTCCACCTACCACCAGTATTTCCCTACTAAACCATGTCCCTTAGTACAACTTCTAAACATTTCTTGAACACTATTTTTTTTTTTTTAATAACTACAGGTTTGTAATTTATTGCTATAAAATTCTTAATGGTAAGAATCAAAAGCTATTAGAAAATCTAAGACATTCATATCCATCGGTAGCAGTTAAGAAGGTCAACAAATCTTGTTTTTCACAAAGTTGGTCAACTGTGTGTTCAGTGTCTTATACTTTCTTTAACCAGAAATGAACGCTTGTCTATTTCTTCACGTTAAGTAATTTCTGTTTATTTTCTAACCCCTCCTCAGACTCTTTCATTATGCTAACTGTGGCACAAGAGAGAACAGCAGCATAAAATTTAAATGTAACTAATTTGACAAAAATTAAGAACATCTGGTAACATGCAGGAAGACTTACTACTCTTTGACACTGAAAATTCTGACTGGCAGCTCTTACCACTTACTAAAGAACAGATCTGAAAAGCCTTTAATCTTCACTTCCTCGCACTTTTCCCCAGAAGTGACTAAGTACCAAGCATAGAGGGAAGTATTTCTACTTATTCATTTTTCAAGCCTCATTTGTGTCAAGTCAGTGATGGACATGAATACTTACTTTAAGCTGTTTATAAAAAACAATCATTTATACAAGCAAAAATTCTGATTTTATCTCCAATTCATTTTTCAGCATAATCTTCAGTAAATGTTTAGCTTTGTTGATTTTGGTTGCTACTTTCGGAGAACCTCCTTTATCTGGATGATTCAGAACCATAATCCATCCTTCTAAGCTTCTCTAATTTTAGTTCTAGTGGCTGTAGGGCTCACTCCTACTATTAGGGCTACTTCTTGTTTTGTCATTTTGTGTTCAAATCCACCTCTGTAACAGCTACTAAAGCCCAGTTTGGGCAAGATCTGCAGCACTTGTTTCACTTGCTTCAATGGTCTACTTTGCTTCAAGGCTCTCAGAGCATAATGACTTGCAAACCCAACCACTGTAGTGGTCAGCCTGACTGCAGTCATAGTCCCAGCCATGCACACTGACAATTGCTAGGCAGAGAGATCAGAGGCTGCAGCACACTGTATGATTTTAGTATCCCTTGTCATTAGTAGTATGAATAGGATAGTTTGGAATTACATCTGAACAAGATTTGTAATTGGTATTTATATGAGTGTTTTTATAGGGAAAACATTTTCTGTACATCAGATCAGTAATGGAAAAAAATATTGTGGTACTTATTCAGGTTGCTCAGAGATCCTAAAGAATGTATTAGCTATAAAACAGATTTTTTTTTATTTAGATCCTTCTAGATGTTAACAGGAATCCTGGAATGATGTGCTTATCATTTATCTAAAAAAAATTAAATTGCAACTTTATTCATATGTCAAGATATCTTAGCTTTCTTAAGATTTGCAGAACGATTTATTGCATTATTAAAAAGGCAGCACAATTGTTTTTGTATGTAGAAATCTGTTAATCAACTGAATTAAAGAGATTCTGTTGTAAGAGTCAGGATTATACTCTGGTTCTTTTGATTCTACAGTCAGCATCCCTTTCAGTAAACGAATGCCTCATAAGGCAGCTTTTCTATTCCTAAATATTTACGTATTTGTCTAAGTCCAGTAAGAATGGAAGACACATAGAGCCTTATAAACAAACAAAAACAAAACAAAACAAAACAAAAAAACCACCCTATATTACAAATAATAAGTTAATGATCTAATCTTCACTCAGCACTCATACACATCTGTGATTAACATTACTGTGAAATACAAACTACTGAAGAATAGAACCCTTCACTCAGAAGAGAGACATGCTCTTCCATTTGAATGCGTCTTTGTTTTATAAAATAACCGTTAAGTTTATCTCACTACAAATATTTTCCGTTTTACTGCACAGTTGAAAGAATTTTGGCATGAAACAACGTCAGGAAAATAAAATCTTGTTATACTTTTCCCCACAGAAATTGAACTACATGTTTAAATAACCATTTTATATTAATTGCAAGGTACATGTCAATAAATTCTGCATTGCCCAAGTGGACCATCTCACAGATGGCAAGGGGGCTATACAGATGTAAGAGGGAGCAGAGACAAATTTGCGTTACTTAATGTAACAGTGCACATGAATATTTTTGGTGAGACGAAAAGGAAGAGGGAATTTGAACTATTGTATCCCCTTGTTTTCTTAAATATTGTTATCACTAACAATCCACATAGTTTATATTCTGCAGTAACAATAACAGAAATGAAAATATCTGTATACAGATATGAATTCCAGTAAAGAAAGTCTCAGATAATTACAGAATCTTACTTCTGTTCCAGTTTTTCACATTGCAGAGTGGAGGAAACCTATCTTAGCCAGTCATTTACTGAAACAGTTTCAAAACCTACTTCATTAACTCTTGTTCTTCAAATCAGTTGACAAGGAAAGTACTCAAGGTTTTGCCTTCTCAGCTCTTTCAACTGACAAAATATTAAACCATCCTCAAAAATATTCCATTATGCAGGGTTGCTTTCAAAACAGTTTGCACAAGAAATTAAATTCAATCACTCTGTTTTGCTAACACATCCTGAACAAAAATATATCTTTTTTTCGTAGTAGAATACAGATGTATTTCTTACTTACTGCATATGCTTGAAGGCCATCAGGTCACTTCTACTTATATATTCCGAAGGTGGAACATTGATTGGATCTCAGACACAGTAATTCACTTGAGCATATACAGTTCTGTATCTCTTATACTCTTGTGTGAAATCTGTTATCTCAATAATAAAAAATAGATGTGTTTAGTCCTGATAGCATGTGATCATTCTGAAAAGTTTGCTGAGAAATGGAAGTAATTAAATAATTGGTGTGTAATGTAAGAAGGCTTATGTTCTTAGTTATCTTCACAGAAAAAAATATATTGAGGTCAACTGAGTCTCTGAGTTGGCTTCACAGGCTTTTACAGCTAAAAGGAATAATTAAATCTTCCATTCCAAACTCATTCATATTAAGTTTCATCTAATTAGTGAGTTCACTAACTTGCTTTTGGCTAAAGCATACCTTACAAAAAGGCATCCAACCTTCATTTTAGAACCTTAAATGGCCACTTCCATACATGTCATTCTGCAGGTTAAAATCAGTGACAAATTAACATTTACAAACTTGTCCTTTTCCATCATTTGAATTAGCTTAATTTCAACTTCTAGAAGTTGGCTGTTGTCCTTCCTATTATTGAGAAATGTTACACTTTTACCACCCTTCTCAGAAACTCACTCATTGAAATCAAATAATTTCTGTTTCCTTTTAACAAACAACAGATAAGTGTGACTTAATAAAGATTTGTCTAGTTCTAGATAATTAGAAGTTACCTCAAATGAAATAATTAATTTCTCTAGTTTAAAATCTTCTGTCTGTAGCAAAAGGAATATCTTCTCATTCTTGTTCTTCTATAGTTTACAGCAAATACGTTTAAACAAGAATACAAGAGTGGTTTCCAGCTAACATTTTTTTGCAAACGTAGAGCTACCTAAAAATTTCCTAAACACAAGTAATTTCTTTGTTTATTATCTTAAAATTGGTTTTGACCTTTTACTATAGCATTGTGTATTGTCTGGTTTGGTAAATGAAGGGAGAACAGTGAATGTTGTCTACCTTGACTTCAACAAGGCACTGTCTCCCGTAACATCTTTGTAGGTGAACTTAGAAAGTGTGGGATAGACAGGTGGACAGTGAGATAGATTGAGAACTGTCTGAACAGCAGAGCTCAGAGAGTTGTGATCAGTTGTACAGAGTCCAGTTGGAGGCCTAAAGTTAGTGGTGTTTCCCAGGAGTTGGTACTGGCTCTGATGTTGTTTATCAACTTCATCAATTACCTGGATAAAATGATAGAATGCCCTCAATCCTCAACAAGTTTGCTGATGATAGAAAGCTGAGAGAAGTGGTGTACACACCAGAAGGCTGTGCTGCCATTCAGCGAGACCTTGACAGTCTGAAGAGTTGGGTAGAGAGGAACCTGATGAGGTTCAACAAGGGCAAGTGTAGAGTAGTACATTTGAGGAGGAATAACTGCATGTATCAGTACAAGTTAGAGGTTGTACTGCTGGAAAGGAGCTCTGCAGAGAATGACCAGGGTTTCCTGGTGGACGATAGGTTGGACACGAGCAAGTAGTATGACCCTGTGGCCCATAGCCAATGGGAACTTGGGCTGTTAAAAAGTATGTGGCCAGAGGTGATCCTTACTATCTATTCTGTCCTGGCTAGGCCACATTTGGAGTACTGTGTACAGTTCTGAGCTCCCTAGTTCAAGAAAGACAGGAAATTACTGGAGAGCATCTTGTGGAGGACCATAAAGACAGTTAGGACCTGGAGCATCTCCCACGTGAAGCAAGACTGAGAAACCTGGGGCTGCTCAGCCTGGAAAAAACTAAGAGGGGATCTTAACAACACATGTATGTTTAAAGGTCAGGTGCCACGAAGGCGGGGCCAGGTTCTTTGTGATAATGGCTATCAAAAGAACAAGGTGCAACAGGCACGAACTAGAAGACAAGTTCCATCTGAACATGAGAAAAAAAATTTTTACCTTCAGGATGACAAAGCATTGGAACATGTTATGCAAAGATGTTGTGGAGGCTCTTTCTCTGGAGGTATTCAAAACCCACCTGGATACTGTACCTGTAACCTACTGTAGGAAACTTGCTTTGTGCAGGGTTTTAGACCACATGCTCTCCAGAGGTCTCTTCCAACCCCAGCAATACTGTGACCATCCTGGAAAGTTTCTTGTGTGCCATAATCACTTTGTCATTGATTTCTAGAATTGCAGTCCTCCATTCTGTAATAACAATCATGTTAAAAATTCCTCAGTTTTAGATGTATAATCCAGATCTCTGCAAATAGATTTCTGATTTATTCTACTTCTATTCCCTTCACACATCTGCTACTGATCTTCAGCTACCCTTAACCTACATTGAATAATGAATTTCTGTACAGGATGCTGACTCTGCACCATTACCTAATTCTAGTTCCTTTTATCTCTTCCCAGTTATATAGATACTAAGGGCTAGAAACAGGCACTGCTGAGTTTCAAGTTAGTACTTTCAAGTGAAAGGAGTAGGAAGTGCAGCAATAAAAGATATACTGCATCATTCTCAAATGTGACTGTGCCAACAGAAGCAGCTGGGAAGAGTATGGGGTTCTAATTACAGATTGCATCAATCTCTGTGAACAGAAGCAAATCTTCTTCCTAGGTTTCAGGCTTACATCTTGTTTGGAGAGGCATAATGAGTTAGGATTGAATGTTCAGTTACAAAAGGATGGCATTATAGGTTGTAAGCAGATGTTGCATGTTAGAGTTCTAATGATATATATTTCAGTACACCAAAACTTTGAACTTCTAAATTAAGTTTTTATTAACCTAATTGTAAGCATAAGGATTCCTGGTTTTATTTTAGGATGTAGAATCAGTGATTAGAAGAGTGTTCTCTTGCATGTTAAATGAGACTATAAAGCAGCTAGAATAATCTTGAAAGAAATATAGAGTGGAATATTCCACACAAGAACGAAACAGTGAATGTTGAAAATGAATAGAAACTGTGAAATTACAGTAGTATAAATCAAAATTTATCAGATAATATTAGCAGCATGATACAGCATATTACCACATAATTTCTCCCATCAAAATAAGAAGACCCAAATATCCCAAATTAAGATAACATTTTTCTGAGTATCTTCATACCATGTCCTCACCATCATATGACCTGGAGATGGCAAACAGATCAGGGAGGTGATAGTTGCAGATGCTATCAACAGCCCAGAGAAGATGAGACAAATGTGAGACGGTGAGTCTGGTCCAAGGTTGCACCAACACAGAAAATTCAACCAACATGCAATGAGGACAAGGCAAAGAAACACAGCTCAGCAGCAACTGCAGGCAGAGGTGAAATGAGTTGCCCAGGCCCAAGGGCAGGGTGTGTATGAGGGGCAATAAGGCATGTGGGTAACGACAGGGTATTGACAGAGATAAATTCTTTTTTCCCCTCTTTTTTCCCCT